CTTCTGGATTTATATCATATTGCATTCCCATAGCATACAGGTATTGTTTAATATCAGATTTCTAGAAACAGTTGATCTATTATTAATTGAGTAATTACCAGTATTGTTTATCTGTCCTACAACAACCTAATTTACTCCACATATAAATGCTTCTGGATTTATCTCGTTCTGGATTTATACTCTAGCATACAATTACATGTATTATTATTTAAAACACAGCTGTGATGTCATCCATTGGTGTTTGCGTACCATAGCCAACATAATTCATAGGCATCACCTATAGCCGTCCAATAAGTTATGTATATAATTACCTGCAGCTGTCCAATAAGTGCACAAAATAATCCACTTATTAGACAGATACAGGTAAGCTTTTGAATGAGCACATAATTATGCTATACAATGGAAAACATAGTAATAGAATAAATGTGAAAATAAATATTTATTAAATGTAACACAGAATTTAAATATCAACATTCTTAAAAGTATATTCCCATAGTCAGATTTCCCATGCACTATATTTTTTCCTTGAAAGAAGGTTTGAATCAGGAAACACTCTTATTACATGAAACATCCATATAGATGCATACATATCCAAACACTTTACCGAGAGAGATATTTCAAGCATTAATAATATGTAATTTCCTTTGAATTCACAATTTTGGCAGTAACACTTTGGAGTTGAGGGCAGTTGAAATCTTGTGTTTCCCCCACAATTTATGTGCACAAAATTTCTTTTGTATCATCCTTTGAGATATTTAAGCATTGAACTGTTATGCGCATTATGATTTGTTAGCTTGCAAAGCTGTGTCATTCAAATAGATCATAAATAAAGTTTTCTCTGACTCTTATGTTCTTTTCTAACTGATAATTTATATTTAAAATTAAAAATTCCCGCCTTATCGACAGTCCACACAATTTCGTTCAATAATTTGAACAGCGTATTGTTGCGTGCTGATTCAGTTTCAGAGCAAAAATGTTCAAAAAGTGTATTTGTTAAAATTTTACCTGTGAAACTGTTGCTACGTATTTCCTCATGTTTGTCGAAGTGATGAGTTGCGGTTTGGCAAGACCAGCATTTTGTGTAGTAAAGTGTAGTGCATCCCACCCCTTCAAGTAACCATCTTTTGTTGTTGGGGCCGCAAAGAGGTACTTGTTTTCGGCAGGCAACAAAATGTCCTTCCTCGCTTCATTCAATGTATCAATGGCGCTGACCATATCTTCTGTTAATATAACTGGAACTTTTCGATCTCTTTTCCCTACTATCTCCACTAGTTGCAGTCTAGATAAAATGTAAACACAATCAGTATTAAAAGATAATAGTTTTCACTATGAAGGGGAGGGGATTGATGATATGGAAATATATGAAAATCTGATGTTTTCAATGTTAAAAACCTTACCAGTGGCTATGCATTTCATTTCTTTCAGATAATTCAAAATGTGACCTTGCATGATCTCGAGGGTATATGGACCCAAATTTGGTTTGTAACACACCAGATTTTTTTGTGCCTCATTGTGACTATGACTATGCCATGTGGGCATGCCCGCCGCACTGACGGGAGACACATAACCTTGCTGTCCTATATATATCCATTTATGCCTCAATAGGACCTTAATCATAGACATACATATCTAAAAATAGACATTCCTTTTCAGCCTATATATCTCCATGAAATTTCATTGACTTTTCTGCAATGAAAAAGTACCTGTAGCCAGAACAATGAATTTGACCTTTAATTACCTCGTGATTGTAACCTTGATCATCTTGCCATCCTATGCATTTCCATAAAAATATAGTGGACCACCTTCAGTTGGCAAGAAGCTGTTCCCTTGACATTTGGAGCATGCACCTTAAAATGTCTACACAACCTTGCAATCCTACATATATTAATATTTCAATGATCTACCTTTAACAAGGTCATATCGCTCTAATTTGCTGGTGTAGTATTGATTAAATTTGATGACTATGGGACTTGTGAATCACCATTTACCCTTAATTTACCACCCAATATATTTTGACATTATGGTTTTTAAGTCTCGCACACATACCTTTCAAGGAGTTTCTTCTCAAGAGGTTGAAGGGTACCAATTATTTCAGCATTACCAGCTTTGTTCCAGTTGGTTCTGTTCTTGTACGATTCCAGAAGTATTTGTCCAGTCTCCCCTCCCCTCCTTTTATTAAAGACAGTCACACGAGTAAGTGCAACTAGTGCCAAGGTTCTCCAGATGCTGGCTGACGGAGCACTACGCAGTAGTGGAATAAGGCGTTGTTGTTCATCAAGAAGATAGCGTCTTAGCTTTACCACATCTTCTGTTAGTGGAAGGAGGTTTGGATCATTATGCCGACGCTCCGACAGCGTTTGAGAAGCATGGCTGCTGATCTTGTCATTCCACTCAGATGCATGCAATATAATGTAGTTCTCAGCCTCTTTTCGTCCCACTTCATCTCCATTGCGAATTGCACATCCTCGTTTCATTTCCGCCATTTTCTTTAAAGAATGCCCAAGTTTTAAAGCCAAAGACGGCTTCTCATACTTTGGCAGACCTCTTTGTGTGTAAACTTCCTCACCTGAGAGTGACGTTCCAGCAATGTTCCAAACAACCTCAGTAATACGATCAAAGTTTTCTGGTTTGATAATGTCATTGAAGTTTTGTAAAGATGTCCCATTAACAGGAGTTGTTTTGCGCATTTCAATCAATAAACGACCAAGTTCCCGAAGCTTTTGTCTAACATTTGCTACTCTGGACTTCCCAACTTTTTGTATCATGCTTCCACCGAGAAGTCTTAGTGCATTGTCGCTTTTGATGCAATCTAGCACCTCATCTTGCTTCATGCCAGCAACAACTGTCAAAAATTCTTGATCTACCTTACTGTTCTTTGTCAAAGCCATTGATGATTCAAGCAGTAATTTGGATGATAACTGCACACGTGTCTCCTTCTGCTCCTCAGAGCCTTGCATTTTTAAAGGACAAGTCTTAGAATGGCGCCAGAGATCACCCTTCAGGAAAAATCCAAGGCAAAAACTACAAGGCAAGAAGTCCTCCAAGTTCTTGACATTCTTTGGACGTCTATCCACGATCAACTGCATATTATCATCATCTTGATCACGTGTTGACATAATTGAAACATTGTGCTGAAAATTACCCATGTTCCTAATTTTTTTCCAAGCTAATGTCCTATCTTTGCTTCCTTTTATCATAGCTATAATACGTGCCACCTCCATTTGATCCTTGTGCTTATTTTCCAAGTGTTCAGAAATTTTAGCAAACAGCTGCCCACAGTAGTAACATGCTTGCCTTTTGTCATAAATTCTCTGTCCATTCGCCCGATGAGAAGCTGGTGTGACTGAAAGTTAAGATTGAAAGTTGTCAGCATTTATTTCAATCAATCATTGACTTTGCATTACTTCAACAATGTTAAAGGTTCAACACGGCAAGAAACTTTGACAGGCGCCATTTAACCTATAACTTCCACCGCTGATTTTTCCCTTTGCTGGGACACAGCACATCAAAGCAGTTCAAAAGTTATCGGAACTCCAATTCATACAATGTTGCTTACCTAATTCTTATTAGATGTGATTAATATACACGTTTCCACAAATTATGTCCATAGATATATCCAAACAAGAGTTGTCAGAGGACAACATAGCTCGCCGAGTGGGTTGAAATTCAGAATTAGTTTTTTTAAAGTAGGTCAAAGGTCACAGTCAAGGTCCGCAAATGTAGTACCAATGGAAAGGTCTTGTCACCAGGAACAGTTGGAACACACATGTGAAATACCGAAACTGTATCCTTACTAGTATTGACAACACTGTTTAATAAAAACTTTAACCTAGCTGTCTACGGACAACATCCACACTGGGGATATAGCAATTGCTCCCCTGGACTTCGTCCCGGCGAGCTAAAAACAGGCATGATTAGTGTTTGTAATAATTTCAACCCAGTTTCACTCGTAAATACTGCCATTATTGATTTTGAATTGGTTTATCCAAAATCGGAGTTACTTAACAAAACAAGCGGAAAGATTTGGCTTGTGCTGTGTATTGTAATTTCCGTTTCATTTTTATTTTTTTTATTTTGTAATAACCGAAGCCGCCATACTGTTTCAATGACCTAGAGTTGGCAAATGGATTTTTATATTATTTATACAACAATTTGTGCATGGATAGGCTAATATATCATCAACAAGTAAGTTTCTTTGTTGTTTTTAACATCCTTAGTGTTTTAAGACGGTTTCTGGAACATTTAGAGTTCCGCCCTGAAATCAGGGCAGAACCTTCTACAGAGAAACATGGCTCCGGAACTAAGAGGACGCAGATCTGCCAATGCAATACGGCAGACTAAGACCTCTAATATGTATATGAGTAACTTTACATAAGATGGGGGCTGCGATAGCTCAGTCGGTTAGTGTCAGGTTATGGTGATATTTGACCAAGTAATCTCGGGTTCAGATCGGAGGTGCATTGTGCAACGCTCCCTATCCGTGTCAGTTTGTGTATCGCGGGAAGTTTAGAAACGGACTGGTCTGTGTTGTCGTGGTTGTGTCCTTGGTCAAGACACTTTACTCTAATTGCTCTGAATGGCATGCGACGGGCCTCCTGTATGTTATTCAGTGAGGTAGTCACCAACTACTACAAGGAGACCCCTCCTCAAAATGACCCTGGCTGTTCACGGGGCGATAAACCCAGCAAACACACAAACAAACAATTGCATAAGATTACTGGAAATACTTTGAACATCAGCAGTAAACTAAGTTAGAAAATATAACCTCAGTTACTCAATTTTAACAGCTTGTGTCTAAGGCAAATTCAATCATACATGATGTTACTTGAGGAATTATGCATTTGAAAAATAAATTACAGGTGGGGAGCCTTTTGTCCGATATATTGTAACAATAAGGCGATTCAGGTTATGGTGATAACCGTGATCATCTGTGTAGGTTTGCATTCGGTCATGGACATAAACATTATCAACATGTTCATACCTTTTATTTCATTACCAGCTGCAGTACTCTTTGGAGAATCTGTGACTGAAACAGGTGTAGTTTTTAAGTCTGAAAATAATAAAAACAAAGTGAACAGGTCCTTAAATAGATAATGTAAAATACATCCACCCTCTGATCTTATTATTTTTCTAACCAAATCTGTTAAGTGGTTAATGAGATATCTTGTAAATGCACAAACGGAGGCATGCATGCACAGACTGAATACAATATTCCCTCCCTCCTTGAACTTAGTTTGGGTATAATCAACAAGAGATACCTGAGGGATCTTGGTGCCCACCATTGAATGGTCTTTATTGGTTTTATGTAAGACTGGCTTTTCACTACATTTCATTCTTTCCTCTTTTCCCCTTAATATTTTGATATTAAGGATAACCTTAATGTGAAATCTATAAGAAAGATCTAAGAAGAACTTTCTGAGAAATAGTGATAACAAACTTCAACTGTCAAAATCCAAGACGGCCATCAGATGATGGTGAGCTAAACAAGAGATCCCAGAGGGATCTTGGCACCCACCATTGAATGACCTATTATTGGTTCTATGTAAGACTGATCTTTTCTCCACTTTATACTTCTTTCCTCTTTTCCTCTTAATAATCTGATAACAAAGAAAACCTTCATATAAAATCTAAGAAAGATCTAAGAAGAACTTTCTAAGAAATGGAGATAACAAACATAAACCAACAAAAACCAAGATGGCTTGTCGGCCATTTCATTTTCCGGATCAGACTCAAAATTCAATGGGCACAACTTAAGACAAAGGGACACCTACATGTGAAGTTTGAGAAATATTCCTC